CCCAACCTGAAAAAACAGTTTTAGCTCGCCACAGTATAACCCAGCTTTCTTCTGATTGGCTGGCTCTCACAAGCAATTAGGTATATACCGTTGCTATTACGTTAGATCTGTTATGCAGTTGGGAGCATGTCTAGAGGAGGCACAAATCCCTTTATGTTTGCATCAGGAAGGGCAAGCAGTGTGAAAAACCTGCAAAAGCAAACATGTGGAGTTGCCTGCGTTGGCTACTTCTTGTGAATAAGAGCAGCCAGATGTAGCTGGCTCTTTAATTGGTTAATATTATGCTATATTTCTGCCATTAATCTTCCTGTTCATCACTCTTATAATCAGCAACATTTCAACATTTCAGCAACTCTTAAGCTTCCCTCAGCTAGCCTGTTGGTTTCTTATTGAATGTCAACAATCTTGTGCCCCACCTGATGCAGCTAGTCAGCAGCGGCGGCAGCGACATCACCATCAGCTGGGTGGATTTGGGCTCAGAGCGGATTACTGGGGAGAGGGGTATTATTGTTTTTTTTCCTACTGGCACTGGGACTCTACTCTTTGTGCTTTCCTAATCAGACCTCAGTGGAGACTTTCTCCAGCAGCTGACTGGACACTCAGCAGGAGAGCAGCGTTGTTTTCTTTAATAATCGCAGATGTTACATTGGAGCATTTTCATTTTTGATTACAGAAAAAATATGAAAGGATAAGTCTCCCAGCAGTTTGGTCTGTTTACTTTTTCTTCAGGTGAGTGCCATGCATCTAGTTTTAGATGCTTTGCATTTGCTTTCACTAACAAATTTGACTAGAAAGTATTGTGCTTGAGTAGTTCAAAGCATCTAAACTATTTATTTAAAGAATGAACTGCAATATTTAACACAAAAGTTCAGGACATGCACTGTCCCGTGCATCCTTCGGCATTCCTCCGTACCCTCCGCGATCCTTCATTGTAGGTTAAGCGGTCAGTGTTGTTTCAGCGGTTTGGATTAACACTCCTCTCCTCCTATAGCACACCATAAACAGATTAGTGGTCTCCAAGTCAGGGCACGGCTGGGCCATCTGTACCCTGCACTGGGTGGGGATGGGGACATGGGGGTGGAGTGTGAGCAGATGTTCCAGAGGGGCTGTAGGTCAGTAGGGCCGAGGGACCGTCAGTCACGAAGGACGCAGAGTTCCTGTTCAGGTGACGGATTTAAAGTGAGTTTAAACCACCGTGCATTGTCATGGCTCTGGGATGCTGCATCGCCCTCACACCCCAAGGTACTGTATAATTTACTGAGGCTTTAATTGAGCCGCATGCACCTCCCACTTCGCTCCTGCTCTGCATGTCAACCACAGCGGTTTCACACTTTGTCACAAGATGTAAGACGCGATGATGAAGAGTTTGTTTTTCACGGTTAGTTTGAACCGTGTTAAAAACCCAAACGCTCCCCACACACTACACTTGTCCTGCAGCGTGAGTAACCCCAAAGAAAAAAAGGAATCAAAGATTCACTCGCGTAAATTACACACAGCTGAAACAGCAATGTGCAAGCTCATCTGTCTGCCTGTTACATGTACAGAAGTTCAGATTTAGAGTTTTTCTCAAGTTCTACGTGTGACCTAATGGCTGACATCTGCGGCTCTGTCCTCCCAGGCCGCTGGCAAATTGTAGGTGTGTGAGCGTAGGTGTGAGGCTGTTTTGACTTGGCTCCTGTCTGAGCCAAAACCGAGAAAATTACAAGGCAGAGGCAGTCTGGGGATGCATGCAGGCTTTCATTGCCCCTCTTCTCCTGGCCTGCAGGGCTGAGTGCAGTGGGGGATGATCCTGCAGCAAATGAAGAGGTGGAGATGAGATTGATAGGCAGTGTCACAGTGCACATAATAGAGTGTGATTTCACCTCGCCAGGAAAGTTAACAGAAAGATGCCACAAGCAACGACGCAAATATACAGAAATGCTCCTCAAAAAAATTTTTTTCTCTTCTTCTTCTTCTCACCGGAGGCCATGTGGCTCATTTGGCTCAATATAGCCATGCTGCAAATCAATCAGCCCGATGTGAAACAAAGAGAAAGCTGCCAAGAGGTCAATGAGATGGCTGCAGCCTGATGTGTTTTCTTAGGCCTCACTGGGGGCAACAGCTGACCACTAAATTAGCACTAAAAGCTTTGCCCATATGGACTTCTGTGTCCATGAAAACCGCTCTTAAAGGCCTCTAATGAACTCGTGCTCTGGCGCACAAACACAGCCTCACTTAACCAAGATTTCAGCGAGCAAGGTCAAAGGAAGTACTGATGTGTTTTTTAGCTGGAGGACGATAAAAACGGGGAAGGTTGAATGGAGTCAGATGATGAGAGCACAGTGTTTGTCCTAGTTGTGGCTGCTATTGTTGTCAAATGGGTTTTTAATGTGTTGTGAGACACTGAGGGTGTCACAGCAAGGCCAACAGTTCACAGCTCAGTGGGGAAGCACTGAGGGGAGAGGCTGACAAGCAGTGTCAGAGGGCTCCTCATTTCACCATAATTTACACGGCAAACGCATCATCTGCTCCACGTCTGAAATATTGTGGGCGTTTGCTCGGTTATATATTACTGCACCGATATTAAATCTGTGGCAAGTCCAATAAATAAATATAATAAATGCAGATATATCCATCCAGGTCCTACAGGGGTTTTCCTGCATTAAAAAAAATTGGCAGCTAACAAAGGTGACTGTTTCATGTTGTATATTTTAAACCTGGCTGTTTATTTACAACACGCATGCAAAGTCATATGGCAGCAGGTAGGAAACATCTGGCGGGCGTAAAACAATTTCATTAAGATTCGAGTGAAGCGGTGCTTCCACACCGGTGTAAATCTTTGCTGAGTTCACCTCCAGCTTCTCCAGCTGTGCAGGAGATGCAACACAGAGCGTGTTTTTAGTTCAGCGAGGTCACACAGCAGAGGGCTTTTAGATCACCCTGGAAAACGTCAGGTTGTGTCGGCGTAGCTGATAAACACGTCGCGTCTCCTGGGGATTTCGCAGTGTTTCTTAGAAAGGACCTGCCAGAGGATTCATAGCAGTGATAGTGATGTTAGAAAAGCACTTAGCATACGCAGCAGTTGGATACACAGGCTGAGGTTTAGTGTCGGGCTGCTGCGCTGGGTCTTCCTGACCTTTAGTAGCTCCAGTCAGGAGTTGGACCGTGTCCTTTTCTGTGTGAACGAGGCTAAAGTTAACTTCTGGCTGCAACACAAAGCAAACTACGAGCCAGAGCCGCCTCTCATCAGACACAGAGGTCAGATAGAGTGCGATTCGGCAAAGCTGCCCGGTCAAGGACAGGCCCAGAAATGTCAGGCAGGTAAGAGAAGACTGACAGATCTGTCTGTGTGTGCTATCAAAGCAAAAGCTCAGCAGTTAATCCTCAGGATTTTACTTGGATTTCGCTGCAGATGTCTGAGATACTATCTCACGCCAGTGCCTTCAATGAAGGAGTCTTATTTCATGCAACCAAACTATGCTGTTATTTTAATCTACTCATGCTGGTTTCTCTCTGACATCTTGTTCTTGTATGAATAACTCCTGTGCATACTTCAAGCAGTCAACATCCAAATAAGTCCCAGCACAAAGACCAGACTTCATCCTTTTGAACTCAAACTTTCCCCATTCATGCAGCCCCTCCATGCATTATGTGTAATTTGAAGCGGTGCAGTAACTCGAGGAGATGTAAGGGGGAGCAGTGGGGTTATTCCATGTATTGGTCAGTGTTTAGAGGATGAAAGTCACACTATCAGGTTGCATTAATACCTATTGTTTGGCTGCAGGTGATAGCATTGCATTAGTAAACAGGCTATTGTGCTGCTAACATTGGATGTGATTATCTGGATTTTTAGTCTCAGGCTTTAAGCTGACTCTGTTGTTCTCCCAACTAATAAAAAACCCTTCAGTGTTCATATGTAGAAGGAGATAACATTCAAAGCCACCACAAAGCAAAGCTCATCAGTTGCATTTGTTTCAGAAAATGTGGACGTCACACATTTTAACCACAAAAATGCCTGAATGAACGTCCAGTACAGTCGTGATGAAAGCTGCCTTTCCGTGATGCAGCCATCATGTCTCAATAAGGGTTACAAGAAGCATGACGAAATAATGGACTGATAGTAGCCATTGTCCTTTAAAGGAAATCCATGAACGATAAAAATCTGACTGTTAAAGTTATCAGATAACAGGTTGGATAAACTAGTGAAATATCAGCTAATTATGATGAAAAGATGGTCTCTATAAAGTGACAGAATAAATTAACTAATTAATGACCCACCAGCCAATTCATTAGGTTTACCTGCTTGTTAATACAAGTATCTAATCACCCAATCACGTGGCACCAAATGAATGCATTCAGGCATGTAAACATTGTCAAGACAGCCTCCTGAAATTCAAACAGAGCATCAGAATGGGGAAGGACGGTGACTTTGAAGTGTCTCTTAAATCCTCCGCAAACAATTTGGTTAGTTCTCTGGGTGACAGTGGCTTATTAATGGCCAGACTGCTTCAAGCTGAAGGCAATAGTAACTCAAATAACCAGTTGTTAAAAACAAGATATGCAGAAGAGCATCTCAAAGCTTGAAGGAGATGAGCTACAGCAGCAAAAGTTCACATCTGGTGCCTCTACAGTCAGTTAGGAACTTGAAACTGATGCTAAGATTTAAAGTGGCTTTTTCCAGACGATTGGAAAAACGTTGCTTCCCACAGAATAGCAAAACCAAGTGATTACTCATAGAGGTTCGTCTGATTGTTGGAGCTTTCTCTATTAATGGAAGGCTCATTCAATTGAGATGTTTTCGTGACCATTTCTCCTCACTAAACTTCCAATGTAAAGCAACATGTTTCAAACTATTACCTAGTCACACAGGTGTGGCTTAATTTGTGCTTCAGTGAGATGTTTTAGGATCATATAGATGCCCTTGTGCCTTATAAATTATGACTCTGGATTGTCTGTGACCACACTGTTGAATTTCACTAGAAAAGGTTTGTCATTTTTACCTATCTCTCTCTCCCTGACAGCGGTATCTAACCTGGATGTGGAGAGTAAGCTGACAGCACATTACCAAGCTCCCTGGCATCAGCAGAGGAACGTTTTCCATCCCTCTACGCGGCCAGAATGTGTGGAAGAGCTCCACAGGCAAGCCAAAACCAGCCTGTGGGCCCTGCACCGAGGTGAGGCCCTCAGGAGCACTCAGCTCCTCAGATTGCAACACAGGAGGAAAAGCTGCTCTCTGTCATGCCTAGTTAATAAACTGCTTCACTTTTCCCTTACGTGCCATTTAAAAACATTTCAGCTATAACATGCATCCTTCCAGGCAGGTCTGCAGCCTGTGTTTGGAGGCATCGTGCCCTCTAGTGGACATGTTGTGCAACTACAACGTAAATAACAAGCATGTTCAGAGGCCATTTTCACACAGACAGTCTATCTACAACTTAAAAAAAAACATAAATAGTCAAGCATCAAAGAAGTGCACTTATGAATTCATCAAAATCACTTTAGTCATGTACTCTTAAGCACAACACTACACAATAATTCCTGGGTAAATTCAATGCAGAAAAAATGGCTGACCAAGGACTCATATCTAACCAGATTAATCTGACCCCGCAGGTCGGTCTGCATGTGACACCTCTCGACACTTATATTTTATTATCTCAGTGAACAAATACAATCGATCTTCAGTGTTT